TATATATATATATATATATATATATATATAAACGGTTCTGAAATTAGTTTATTTTTATGTAGTGTATAAAGCTCATTCAAATCTTTTTCAGGGGTCAGCAAAACTTGAGAAGGCGGAGATTTTAGAAATGACAGTAGAACATATGAAGCTATTACATGTCAAAGGTAAAAAAATATTGTTTATTATAAAGTTTCCATCATTAGTCTCTAGTATTGCAAAAATGTTGTGTAACGCTTGTGCATCAGTAGACTCTATTATTGTAAAAGTGTTGTGTAACGCTTGTGCATCAGTAGTCTCTAATATTGCCAAAATGTTGTGTAACGCTTGTGCATCAGGAGTCTCTAATATTGCCAAAATGCTGTGTAACGCTTGTGCATCAGTAGTCTCTAATATTGTAAAAATGTTGTGTAACGCTTGTGCATCAGTAGTCTCTAATATTGCCAAAATGCTGTGTAACGCTTGTGCATCAGTAGTCTCTAATATTGCAAAAATGTTGTGTAACGCTTGTGCATCAGTAGTCTCTAATATTGCAAAAGTGTTGTGTAACGCTTGTGCATCAGTAGTCTCTAATATTGCAAAAGTGTTTTGTATCGTCTATATTTGTATGCATATACGACAGAATATTTTCTAAAACTATTGCACAGTCTTTAGTAAACACCTAGTAGTAAGCACCATGTTACTACACCTGCCTTCTCTGTACATGTGAAATACTTCGTTATAGTACGTCAGTATAACCTGCTTTACCACAGGTCTTGAAGTTATTCAACAGCTTATAGCAATTCTCGAACTGAGGAAGAACAGGTAAGAGCACAGTTTCCGTTGTTAAAAAAGATATTAATTTTGTCCGCTTGTTAACAAAATCATACGCATGGGGAGGGCATTTCTAGAGTGAGATTTGTTTTTCTGACAGGCTTAGTTTCAACTCAGGCACGTGTGTGCAGCTACAGTCGTACTGATTCTCCCTGTGTCAAACTTAATCCGCATCAGCCATTGGCAACGTTAGTTTTAGTTTGCTCTTAAGGTATGCTTGATGCTAAATTATTGTTAACTCTTAATTTTGATCTAATTAGTGACTTATCTACGAGGCAGTTCAACTTACAGTATTTACGTGTATGAGAGTGCAAGTATAGAGTACACGTCATCCATTAGACATGTGGAGTTCCCGTTGTTATGTAGTTACAATTCGAGCACTAGCTTATGGTGTTTATAATTCTGTCTCATGCTGAACATGTGGACATTTCACAGTGGGAAGGCAACAGAAGTTCGTTCTATAATACTCTGTAAAAGCTTTGGTTGGTTTGTTTGTTATTAAGCACAAAGCTACACAATGGACTATCTGTGCTCTGCCCATCACTGGTATCGAAACCCGGTTTCTAGTGTATTAATTCCGCAGACATACCGCTGTGCCACTAGGGATCTAAAAGCTTTGGAAAGCACAGAAGCTATAAGATAATTAGTTTCAATAAAAGAATATCTTGGTTTTATTTAACCCTGGTGGCTGTCCCAGCGAAACTATGGGTTGTTGAGACCATTGAAGTTCTGTAATAAGACTTAATTAACGGAAGTTCTTGCAGATTTCTGACCCCCCCACCCTCGACCTTTTTCGTGACGTTAGAGATAATTTCACACTTTTCCGTATCCCCAAGGTCAGGTTATAGTGGAATAAAAAGAAAATTTAAAACTCGAATCATCAGCAAAGTCATTTCACGCTTGAAACAGTAGGAGTTTGGTGGGTAAGTTCCGAAACCGTGGCGTCTTCTCATAGCTGGGGAAAGGGGCACGCTACATCCATCGTTATTCTAATTGTTAACATGCGCGAAAGATAATAATAAGAGGCTGTCACTCAGCGGGTGCAATCTGCTGTTACGCTTGACGAGTCAAGAAGCTCTCATGTTCTCAGAGTGGCGCAGGAGTTCTGTGCTTCCTTTAGAATTGACCACAGAAAAATTACCTCACAATATATTTTCTCCTAAGTGAAAATTTCCAAAATGGGTTGTTATACACAAGTTTTTGTTAATATTCCAGACTATTATTTTCCTGCCAAAAATAATGCAATGTGAGTGTACTTGAATTCGTGTTTCTCTCAACGAAGAATGCAGGTACACAAACAATTGCAGTGATACGTGGCGTTAGGCCTGGTTTTTGGACTCACTTGTGTATTTCCACGTAACTCTCGGGTGTGGGAACGAGGCTATCGGTGTGTCAGGAAGTCGTACGGATAAATAGTTGACTTAGTTTTACTGTCCAGAGGATTATTTTTATGCACATGTTCCGTAACAGATACTGCCAAGTTGCATATCGGTTCTCGAACTGTACACATAATACGTTTTACTTGCCCGACAGACAAAAAAAAAAAAACATTTGATAAAGTACTTTGTTTTTATTATGACAGCTAATTCAACCATCAGCAACTACTTTTCTCGCTGTAATTTTATATTTTCAATCTTGCGTGTGATGTCTCCGCGAACGATTATCAACTTACTTTAGCTGTTCTTGTCGTGTGTGTTTATTCACCTTTATACCGAAGAACGTTAGAAAGATATGGGATACTCGGTTTCACAGTAAACAAAGAACTTGATGATATATATAACTTTTATTTTTATTTCTTCTCCCATGATTCCGGTCTCTGTTAATCAAGGTTTGCGGAAGCGCGGGAAATTAACTGAACAATTTTCGTATTATATCAATCAACACGTCCCGTTTGAATTGTATGGTTCAGTTTACTTTTGCGTCATTCATCTTATGTTACATAGCATAGAACAAGTTAATCAAATCGAACTCCGTGGGTTAAAAATTATCATACCACTTAAGTATAAGGCAGTACCACTAGTCATTTCTAAACAACACACCCTTTTATAAGCTTGTACAGAATATCAAAGAAATACTCAATAAACATTAATAATTTTTTGTATGTTTCAAACACGTCTTTTCATGTACAGTTTGGTCAATTTCATTTTTTTTCTCCTGGAAATGAAACCGATATATACAATTTCGAATTACTATTAAATTAACAGAAAGAGTATTATGTTATTCTATCACTTGAGGCTGTGCAGAAAGTAATGGGTTTACTTGTCAGTGTTTGTTATTAAAATGTATCAGCTCCAATGTTGAGTTTTCATTACAATATGAACCATTATGAGAACCTCCTAAACTTTTGTTATTTTTCAAACTCGTGCAACTGGTCAAACTTAAATACTTACTAAAAGGCCATCATTTGTAAAACAAAACAAGCAGATGAGGTTAACCGAAACATGCTTCAGGTTCATTGTCGGAGAAAACTTTAAAATGAACGTCATGAGACACATAATGAAGTGATTATAAAAAAAATTGAGCGATGACCATAAACTACGGAACCATATAATTGTGATAATAAGACGTGGGAGGGTCAGGTGATCATTGGACCTCTTTCTTTAATAAACTACGGATTGAGAAACTGTTGTGAAAGTTGATTTGGTCAGATAGCTTGATTCCTACAAATAGATGAATGGATGAAGACAGCACAAGTACGCATGCGCCTTGGGTGCTTGGTTCCATCTGTGAGATGTTGAAGAGGCTCCGTTATGGGCTCAACTGCATTTTGGTATTATATGGACTTGTTATAGTCATCATAAAGAAGTCTAGAATAAAACAAGCCAGAGAAAAGCCTCCTATAAAATTAAGGCCATCCTAATTTAATTGCACCGATGATTGAACGTCACTAGATGTTCCAGACAGGTTTGCCAAGGTTTAAGAATGCCTGCACAATCGCCGATTGACATCTTTCTCCCGCTAAGGCATCGTTGAAGAATAGAAGGAAGTTCTTATTGAGGATTGGCGTAATGTTCATGTTGAAATCATTCCTCATCTTGTTACTTCATAAAAGAACCAAACTGGCGTAGTCCTGAGACGTCACTGCGGTCTGACATTTGTCCAAACAATGTGATATATACATTTTGTTTGTTTATTTTTTCTCACTTATTAAAGTGTAAGAAATAAAGTCAGTAACAGTCAGTGTTTGTTTCTGAATAAATGCCCGTCAAGCGATTTTTACATCTAATTTAACAAATATTTGTATATATACACACAGCGTGGTCACGAGTAAATAGACACCTACTTTTCAGAAAAAAATTAAATTTTTCAGTCATATTCACATGAATTGATATATTTATAATTTAAGTAATATCTAGTAGATCTTCCTTTCGCCTCGTGAAGTTCGTTGATCCCTTGGGGCATCGTGAGAATCATCTCGTCAATTTTAGATTGTGGGATTTTCGCCCACTCTTGCTTCAAAACTTGGAGTAGATCGTTCTTCGAAGTT